ATTAATTTTAGGTGAAAATCTACCGAGCCGTTTTCTTGTAATTAACTGTTGAAAAAAAGTGTTAAATTTTCGTCGACATTTAAGCTCATCCTACCGAACCGATTTTAAAATATCAAAAACTGTTCGAAAGATATTAGTTGGGAATGGTACTGATTAGTTTTAGGTGAAAATCTACCGAGCCGTTTTCTTGTAATTAACTGTTGAAAAAAAGTGTTAAATTTTCGTCGACATTTAAGCTCATCCTACCGAACCGATTTTAAAATATCAAAAACTGTTCGAAAGATATTAGTTGGGAATGGTACTGATTAATTTTAGGTGAAAATCTACCGAGCCGTTTTCTTGTAATTAACTGTTGAAAAAAAGTGTTAAATTTTCGTCGACATTTAAGCTCATCCTACCGAACCGATTTTAAAATATCAAAAACTGTTCGAAAGATATTAGTTGGGAATGGTACTGATTAATTTTAGGTGAAAATCTACCGAGCCGTTTTCTTGTAATTAACTGTTGAAAAAAAGTGTTAAATTTTCGTCGACATTTAAGCTCATCCTACCGAACCGATTTCAAAAAATCAAAAATTGTTCGAAAGATATTAGTTGGGAATGGCACTGATTAATTTTAGGTGAAAATCTACCGAGCCGTTTTCTTGTAATTAACTGTTGAAAAAAAGTGTTAAATTTTCGTCGACATTTAAGCTCATCCTACCGAACCGATTTTGAAATATCAAAAACTGTTCGAAAGATATTAGTTGGGAATGATACTGATTAATTTTAGGTGAAAATCTACCGAGTCGTTTTCTTGTAATTAACTGTTGAAAAAAAAATTTAAGCCGATTTTCATGGAAATTTTTTTGGCGATATACATCATGGTCTTATAGAACTTACTGTAATATTACGGCCTAACGACAAGTAGTTTAATTTTAAAAATTCGTCAAAGTTTGCTAAAATTATTATCGTTTTTTTAAAAAGTAGGATTAATGAAGTATATTATTTACACATTTTTTTTTGATTAAGTCGATTATCTACAAATTTCGGGAAGTTCATGTAACTTGCCTCAAGGCTAAATACCAAACCAACTAGTTTAATTGTTGTATTGCCCTAAAAGTATATCTCTAAAATAATTTTTAAGAATGACCAAAGGCTTCTATAAGCTGTTGTGATGATATACTTGACTAAATACATCCGTTTTTTTATAGTTTCTCAAACAGTTATCGCATGAATTCTTTAATTATTACAATTTCTCTTACGCCCAGAATCGTCGACGAAAATTTGCATCCGCACGCACGCACACATCAATTTTTTCTAAGGTATGCCAAAATGTTCAGAGACCTTTGAGACGTGAAGATAATTAGAAAAAATATTTTCGATTTTATGTAACCTACCCTAAGTTAAGTTAAAAAATGAAAATATAATAATAACCAGCCAAATAACATTTGGCGGACAACATACAATAAAACAACACAAAGTCAACAATCGATTGTATCATGATTGTATGATACCCGCGAAACTCGACAAACACATTATAAAAATACATCTCATGAAAATATGAAAGTGAGTTTGAATTCAATAAAGATATAAAATTGCGTTTAGATTATATTTCTATATTATATTATATATATATATATATATATATATATATATATATATATATATATATATATATATATAAAATATAGGAAAATTCAGAACTATAGCCTTTATTTTCGATAGATTGAGAAGCTCGCGCAAAATCGAACAAGCAATTTGTATTTTGTTCACGTTTCTTTCTCAATGTTTTCGAATACATAATATGGCATATAAGAAACTTATATAAATTTTTATATAGGGCTTATTATAAGCTATTAAATAATATTGTTTGATTTGAACAATTCATTGAGACGCAATATAGGCGGCAATTCAAAGTGTAATATATTTGTAATTTGCCACCTGGTCCTTTTTATCTCATGGGTGGGATAAAAAGGAATACTCAATGGCACAAAAATCCACTATTTTATTTTTAATTGTAAATAGGTTTTGTAGAATGATACCGCTTAATTATTAGGTTGAACAACATAATTATAAACTATAATGTACATATATATTTTTATATCAAATTTTGCTTGGTAGTTATTTCGGTTTAATTAATCATAATCAGACTCATTGTTTCTTGAAATACAATTAAGATACAGACAAACTATGATAGAAATACATATTTCATAGGCATATATTTTACAACATCACTATGTTGTACACAACCTACGTATAGAACTTCGTCAATAGAATTAATTATAAATAAAATAATTAAAAATAAATAAAGTTAAAATAACTATTAGTTTAAATTATCTTCTGTCAAATTCTCTTTCTCATTTTACTTTTTTATTTACCACTTTATTATCGTTAACACCTTTGATTTAGAGGATTCTTTTTGGCCCAATAAAAAACTAAAATAAAGAAAAATATGGTGTAGGTAGCAAATGTGATCATTTATGATCAAAATTGTTGAACTTAACCAATTCATATACTCGAATTAATAACTATCAAAAAAATATTAAAAATGATTTAATTTTGAAAAGGGTTGAAATATAATTTCTAAGTAATTTATTATATACAACCAAATAAATAACGAAACACTTGCATCACTAAAGCATATAAAACAATATTTGGAATCTTCGGTCAAATGATATAGCGTTTATTATATCGAGAAAGTAATATGTCAATTTCATTGACGAGAATTGAGATCAAGTAAATTTCATTGATGTGAATTGCCATTACTTGGATAATCAGAAGAAATATACGAGTAGATACTATCACTGGCATTCTGGTGTTTGATAATTGTAAAGAAAAATTTTATATTAATAAACTGAAACTATTATTTCATAATCTTAAGTGGTTTATACTAAAAATATTTAAAATTCACACTACTACGTATGACAAAAACAAGATAAACTGGTGGGGCATGGCATCAGGCCTTAAGGCAAATTGCTGGAACTTCCCGTACCTTAATGAAATATTGTAGGAATATTAAATGTTTTCAAATAGATTATTATAAATAATGTTACATTAATTATTCTCATTCTATAAAAAGTAAACCAAAAAAACTTAATCAGATTTAAAATGAAGAAGTCATAGTAATCGTAAAAAATCGAAAATTAAAATTGATGCATAGCTTTATGTTTCAAAGGTTTCTGAACATTTTGGCATACCTTAGAAAAAATGGATGTATGTGTGTGTCGGTATGTATGTTCGTATACAATTTTTCGTCCATGATTTCGGACGCATGGATCAACCGATTTGAATTATTCGAAAAGCATTCGATTTAAACTGAGGGAAAGATGTGCTGATTAGTTTTTGGCAAAGACAGGTCCAGCCGTTTTGAAGATACGCGGCAAAGAGTGCCAAAAATGGTAATTCAGTTCTTGAGGTAACGGAGCGTCCGTTTTGAATAATTCAAAACATTAAATTTGTATTAACTAATCGAAGAACTGTTTAAATTTTTAGAAAGGCAGGTCTAGCGGTTATAAAGTCTCAATAAAAAAAATAAAAAATGCCATCTGGCGGTTAGAAATGATCATTAGAAATATTCACATCTAGTAGTGTATGGCATCGTGCCTTAAAGCAAATTGCTAAAACTTCCCGTACTGTAACGAAATGTTCGAGAAATATTAAATGTTTTCAAATAGATTATTATAAATACTGCAACATCGTCTAATATTTATAAGAATTATATAAACTGAATCACAAAGTCAAAAATATTCATTTAAAGTATATAAGTGAGCTTTGAAATTAAAATCTGAATTATTTCCGACATACAAAAAAAAATTGAAAAAAAATGGATTTTTTTTTCCAAAAGCAATCGTTTTGCCAACCAAGCAGAAAGTTTTTTGAATCATTCAATTCGGATTATTATTTCTCTCAAAAACTGCCATTTTTTGTACAATTAGCTCTGTATCTTCGAAATGGCTGGGCCTGCCTTTGCCAAAAAATAATAACCACAATTTTCATTTTTGATTTTCGGCCCATTACTATAACTACCCTACGGGAAGTTAATAATTATCAGATATTTTATAGAGATTTAATAGTGTGTACATATTTTGTGCCAATTTTTTGGGTTCCCTACGAATATTTAATTTTAAAGTTTATTCATATGGTTCAAATAAATGTCCTCGACATTTTCGACAGTATGGAATAATAGATTTGAATGATTCAAAAAACATTTGGTTCGTATCTATCGCGAGGAGTTTATACAACAAGCGCGTCTAGCCGTTTCGGAGGTATGGAGCACAAAGGGTTGTAAAAATAGTCATGAGTTTTTGAGAGAACGGATCATTAGATTAGATTAATTCAAAAAACATTTTGCTTGTATAAACGGTGTGATATAAATGTTTTTCAGAACATTTCGTAAACTTGAAAATTTTGAAAAAAATCCAAATTTTCACAAAAAAATTAATTCAAATTTTCGATTTTTTTCATTTTCAAAAGAAAATCTAAATTTTGAAAAACTTAAAAAAATATATCAGTCAAAAAAAATCGATTTCTTACAAAAATTTTTGAATATTTCAAAATTTTCAAAAAAATCGTATATTTTCAAAAATTTCCAAATTCTCGCAAATAAGAAAAAATCGATTTTTTTCAAAAATGCCAAGAAGTTTCGAACTTTTAAAAAATTTTCAAAATTTAATTACAAAGTATCATAAAAATCAAATTAAAAAAAAATTGAACGAATTTTTTGTAAACATACACATAAGTTGTTTGTAGAATACGCTCGTCGCCCAATTTAATAAGCACTTATAAATTTTCAGATGTATTTGTAATAAATAATCGGTTTGAAAATATTTAAAACAATTGTAATTAATTATTAGTGATTATTTTCATTCCTCGAATGTTTAATTACGGTACGGAAAGTTTCAGCAATTTGCTTTGAGGCACAATGTCATGCCCACTAGTTTAATAATAAAATTACATGCACCTAATTTCAGATTGCGCGAAATATTATGATAAAAAATCCTAGATATATGAAAAATATACCTGTACTCCGTATCTCAGTTAATTAATTGATAGCCTTCGCCAAGTAAAATTGTGACACTAATAAAACTGAATGAATTAGAAGACTTCGAATAAAACCGGTTGGTTGTTCACTCCAGTTTCGGTTGTACTTAAATGTTACTTCATTCGAGTTGAGAGCCCAGAACTAAGTAGGTCTTGTACCGACAACTGTACACGCGGAACTGAGCCACACCAATGTTCTGCGCTTGTGATAGTCGCTCTAAAACAAATCCGGTGTCACCGTATTCTCAAACAACGCTTCTGAAGTGATATATACATGAACATAAAATATTCATAATGAAATATTTCCAAGTTCAATGCCAAATTATTCAATAATAGAAACTTATTACATTAAATTAATCATTTTATGCTAATAAAAAATGCAATAGTCTATTCATTTGAGATATATTAACAAATTAAGGTAATCATAATGTCTTAAATTATTTATTTTTTTATATATTTTAATTTTCAAATTTAAAATTTAATATTAGAAATTGATTAATATACATAAATGTTTTGAGATTTTACAAAAATAATAATAATTAAGCTTAGATGAATTAACCAGCCTTAACTAATAATAGATTTAATTAGTTTTTTAACAGTTGAAATTAACTTTAAATAGCGTGATAAGTAAATAAAAATTAATATTTTATGTAAAATTTATTTAAATCTTTTACGCGCAAAACTTAAAATTGAGCATCATACCAAATGATATAAAATGTTATTCAAGTAAAAGCATAACGGTATTTTTATCAACTAGTGGAGTTAGTGAGCACAAACTAATTCGACATGATAATGAAATAGCAACATTGAAATAAAATATTTCGTAATAATTTTTGGTTGATTATAATAACTATAATTTAACTAGTTTAAAGTAGCATTTTGATTTACGGCTAATTGTAAGATGCATAAATGCCCCGAAATTCGTAATAACTAACTTAATCAACCAAAATTAAGATTTAGAGATGTATGTAACTTCCAGTTGTTTATTTCGAAAATAATGTTTTCTCTTTCACTTAAATCTAAACCTTGCGATTTCCAATTGATATCTATTAAACACACATCAATTATCTGTATTTATTATATTAATTTTAGCGCACAGACACGTGCTTGTATATCCTAAACTGTAGTCTATTATTCCAAATTTATTTAATTTATATAATTCAATTTTTGTAAGACTATTTAGTGCATGAACTTTATCGCCATGTTAAATTTCATTAAAAACGGCAAAACTTTTTTAAGAAACTTAATAAATTTGCATCTGCTATAAGAAACTACTGGCACGATTACATATATTATATACGTAGTTCTTGATATTATTTAATAATTTAAAATAATAGTAACATTTTTTACACAACTAGAGAAATTTTGTAGACTTGTTCATTTACTTTTTTGCTTATTCCAAAGCCATTTCTGATGGCTTGCCCGATCTTCTCGCAGACCTAATAGCGGTTCCTTGTTGTGTTTATTCCAATGCCTTTTGAATTTTTGAAAATCAAATTTTAAATTGTTACATCACAGCGACTTTAGACACAAATTTTCATATCATATCATATTTTTTAACTTCCCGTAGGCTAAGTTATATTTATTTATTTATTTATTTATTTTTATTGGCTTCTGAATTACATCTAGCCACTTACAGTCTAATATAAATCATTACTACTCTAAATAATATAAAATGTATACTTATAAGCTTGTCTACACATATTTCTATAACTTAATTTTACACTCCGATATAAAATTAATTAAAAATTTATATATTTCTGTATTAGATAATAATGTCACTAAATTAAATGGTTTCCTAATATTTTTGTTTCTGTAGATCTTATTAATTAAATTTACACGTTGATTGTAGTATATGATGTATTCAAGAATAAGGTGTTGCGAAGTCCCAACTGCTTCTCCACAGACACATATATTTGATGGTGCCAGCTTTAATCGATACATGTAGGCAGGAAAGTTACCATGATTAAACCTTTAGTGTGATTTAGGCTAAGTTATAGTCATCGCAAAAAAATCGAAAATGGAAATTTCAAAGGTTTCTGAACATTTTGCCATACCTTAAAAAAATGTATGTATGTGTGTGTGTGTTTGTATCTTGAAACTTCAAAAAAAACAAATTTGAAGAACTGATTAAATTTTTAGGAAGGAAGGGCTAGCCGTTTCAGAGGCGGACGGAGGATCATTAAAAGACAACATTTTTGTATGTTTATATGAAAAGAAATAAAGAATACTTATTAGAGTGGTGTTCGAATGAAGGATCTTATCTTTTATTTTTGAGAACTATATAAACTGAATTGCAAAACTAAAATTATGTATACAAGTGGTGGCGGGATTAGCTCATGAGTAGCGTTTTTAGGCGTTGAATTGAATAGAAAGTAATAAAGACGTAAGAAGATAGAAGATACAATAATATATAATAAAGAAAAAAAAAGGAGAATGAAGTTACGTTGAAGAATACATAGAATAGGATAGAAAAAAAGAAGAATGAAGTTACGTTGAAGAATGCATAGAATAAGATAGAATATAAAATTTAAAAAGAATATATGAAAAAATTGAAATTTTGTTGTAAAAAAAAAGCCTTCCCTAAAACTAATCGTTTCTTCACAAGCAAAATGTTTATTGAATCGTTCGAATCGGTTGGTTTGTTCTCTTTGTCTTCACCAAAAACTAATCAGCACGCCTTCTCATCGTTACAAATTGAATGTTTTTTGAATTATTAAAATCGGATGCCCTGTTCTCTCAAAAACTTAATTTCCGTTTTCTGCACTCTTCCATTTATCGAAATCGGCTACCCAAAACCTAATTAGCGCTAAACCACATAAGTAGAATTTTTTTTATTTATCATTCAATAGACAATCAGAATACATTGTTTATATAAGCCTAGGTCAAGGATGAGCCGGAGGTTTGTCTGCGTCCCGCCAAGCATTTCTCAACTACAGATTATTTTTTTAGATATTTTATCAAACACGGCTGTAAAGGCTAATTTTGTTACCAGCCAAATACTGGTAAAGCAGAAATAGCATTTTCTGATAAAATAAATATTAATTTAACAATATTGCAAGAACTTGTCGCGAAGTTTAAATCATCGTGAATTTAAAAACTTCTTGACATTTTAGAGCGTGAATATGACGATGTGCTTTTCAATACGAAAGTACGTTAGCTCAATAGTGATGCAATGCTTAAAGGAGTATATGACCCAAATGGCAAACTACAATTGTTTTTGGATATGTAGTACTTTTATCAATTTGGTAATAAAGAATAATATCTTTTGTAGTATCTTGTTTTTCACATTTTATTTTCAGAAAAAGAAAATGTGAATAAATTTTAATTGTGATTCCAAATGGTCAAAGCTAACAAAACAGCTGTTTTAATGTAAATGTTTACTTCGCCATTTACCATGCAAAATTATACAGATTTAGGAAATTTATTTTTTCAGTAAACATCGCATTTTTTTATAAATCTTATGTCAGCCCTGAGAAATTTTCGCTTTTGCAAAAAAAAACTCAAATCAAATTATGATAAATTGTTTTTTTGGAAATACGTATGTGTGAGAACAACTACACAGGTCCACAAAAGAAAAGTCGCTGGATAATAATTCATTCATTCAGAAAGATTATGCCAGTTTTTAAATGTTTTTCCATATTTTGTGTTCCAATTTTGACTATAGATTTATATTCAGCGGAAATAGTACATTGAAAATACATCGGAAACCATACACACCCGATCCAAACAACTTTTTTTTGTGGACCTGTGTTAATTTCAACTATGAAATTCATAAAAAACTACCACCTATCAAAACTGAGTAAAACATATCAAAGCTGCATGCGTGTTGCTACTTTCCATATTAAAAAAATTAAAATAAAGAACAAAATTTAAAAAAAAACGGCTGATATTGATCAGCTTATATAAAAAAGCAATGCTAAATTTCTTATTAAAGTTTTCAAGTAAATTAGTTTTTCTGTTTAACTATTATTTGTTTTTATTTTGTATTTATATTCATAAACACTTATAGTATACAATCGTAATTATATAAAATATATACTTTATTCAATTTTGTATTTTTGTTCTTATCTTGTGGCAATTTTGTAATTCTGTTGCAGTTGCATTATTCCCGCACTCAGTCAATAAATCTTTTGACCTAATTTTAGTTCAGACTTTTGAAAAAGCTTCAATTTATTCAAAAAGAAAAATTAATTTATATTTATCATGGGTTGTACGACTGTAACAACTTTTTTAAATTTTGTTCTTTTTTTTTTATTTTATTTTATTTGGCCTCTTATTTACAAACCAGCCATATACAGAGTTTCTTACATTTAAATTCGAATTTTACATTTAACCACAAAACTATATAAATTTTATAATATTCAATATATGACACTAAATTAACTAAATTAAATGTTTTGACTACACTTTTTATTCTATATAATTAATATAATAAATAATCCCTATTTTTTGAAATCTGCTACATGTTCAAATTATAAGTTGTAAGGATCCCACATACTACTACTACACAAATTTGAAATTCATTTATATCTATATCTTCGATATCGATATTCACAATTTTTTTTTTTTTAATCATAATAGCCGCTCCACCTTCTCCGTCGACTCTGTCGGCTCTGATTAAATTATATTTTTTTTATAAAATATCGACTGTTCCATTTAAACCAGGTTTTAGATAATAATATAATATCAATTTTATGTTGCTATATAAAAATTTGCAAACTTTCTTTATTTGCATTAAAAGATCCAATAATCCATTGTCAAAATTCATTAAGAGATTTATTATTTCAATTTGAAAATTTATTCAACTATTTACATTTTTATTTTTTTTAATTTTTATACTGATGTATTATTGCCAACTCCAACTGTATTTTTATGGGCAATACTAGATTCTTCAAAGTTTAACTTTTTGCAAAATAAATCAACACCATTTT